CGACAACATGAGAAAATAATAAAAAAATACGGAACTCAACTCTTGAAATGAATTTAACAATTTGCATATCTACCGCTCCGATGCCATGGAGGAACTGGACACAATACAATGCGAGTATATGGCAGCTCAAGTCTCCCTAGGTGCTGGCCTCCAGACAGGCAGACAGACTGCATCACAAGAATGCTAAACGACCAACGGACGATAAAAGTGTTAGACCATGACAACTCTTGGAGAGGCACATCATCATGTGAATATCCAAAGTGTTGTGTCAAACATAAAATAATTATGGCTCATCCATATGGAGAGGGGAGGGGTGAAGGTAAATGATTTAGGGAAGTTGTAATAAATTGTGAACAGAAGATGAAAAAAGAAAAAACGGCACAGAAAATGAACTGCAGGGCTTTTGTTGTTGTTTTTTTTTTTTTGGTACAAAGTAAAGGTAGTTTCAACCCTATCACTTACATGCTGGTCATTTGTGACGGAGAATAAGTCATAGCTTGTATGGTTTTGAAAAATAAAAAACATATGGGGCATTCATAAACTTGACAAACAATTTTTAACAATTTTATAGTTAACTATACATGAAAATAATTAAAAAATCGAATGAATTAATTGCATATATATGGAATTAAAACGCCATATGGATGATTATATCTCATAATTGAATTTAAAATAAATCTTATACGACAATATTTAGCTTGCGTTATAATTACTCTATATACGAAATATGTGGCTGTAACCGCCTCTGGTTTCTTTTCGACCCCCCAAAATGTTAAGGTTTTTTAATACTTTTCTTCACCTCGAAGACCAAATATGCAATTATTAATCTACCACAGCTACGTGGACTAGAAATTTCAATATCAGAGGAGATCAAGTTTCTAGGAGTAGTCTTGGATTCAAAGCAGGCATGGAAACGTTACATTAAATTAGTGCACATAAGCAATCGTATCGGAAAATATTGGAAAGCCTCAATACTAAAATGGTACTGGAGTTCTACACCAGTATAATCTCAAACATATTTATTAATTTTATGTTGGAAAAGAAGCTGACCTCTGACGCAGTCCAACGAATAAAATATGAACTGTTTGGTTTTATATGATGCGAAAAATGTCTAAAAATGTACCAAAATTGGGAAGATTACATTGATCGACATGCATCAGAGTGACCAGGACAATATGTACTTTCTATAGAGAAACCACATCCATGAGTGTTTACACGAGTTTGAGACGATTTTAATCTCACTGTCTTAAAATTTACGAAAATTGGGAAGAATTCAACGATCGTCATACATCAGAGTGACCAGAACAATATGTATTTTCTATAGAGCAACCTTAATCCCGAGTGCTTACTCGATTTTGAGCAGATTTTAATATCACTCGATTGAGTTTCACTGTTTGCTCGAATTCAAGAGGGAGTACTCCTGCGAGAAAAGTAGCAAAATCGAATCTTTTTTTTTATGCCATTCGTAAAAATAGGGTAAGCTTTGTTCGTTTTCGCCTGAGAGTAAAATCCTCTCCAAATCGAGCAGATTTGTTATACCCTCCACCATACTATGGAGGGTATAATAACTTTGGCATACCGTTTGTAACTCCCCGAAACACTCATGTCAGACCCACAGAAGATCAGCATAAAGTTCTAGGTTGATTTGGCGATGTCCGTTCGTTTGTCTGTGTCTTGCAATCACGCTATCTTTGGAACGAATTGAGATATAAAGCTAAAATTTTGCACACATGTGTACTTTGCCATTAGAAAGGTTAAGTTCGTAAATATGCCATGTCGGTATAGCCACCATAAAACGGTACCTCGCAATATTCGCTATTTTTATGACTTTAGCGATATTTTTAACGGAATTGTCTTAAATTTCGTATTTACAACAACCTAAGACAAATTGCGTATGCAGGTCCACATCTTTGATACCTGCAGGGTGAGATAAAAAACAAAAATTAGCTGAAAAACCACAAGTGGCTATCGTTAGAGCACTCTAGCATTTAAATGTGAATAAATCGTTGGTGTCTCGTACCACCGCTCGTTACCGTGATACTGGTAGCGTAGCCCGAAGTCAGCAAAGTGGATGGAAGAAAACAGCAACATCAGCCGAAATGGATCGAAAAGTAAAGAAGCGACTTGATCGAAACCCGCTTCGCAGTCGCCGAAATATGGCTCGTGAGCTTAACATATCGCAATATGCTCGGGGTAAAGCCATTGAAATTCCAAAAAGTGCAAGAAATTACACCGCAACAGAAAGAAAATAGACTCAAAAGAGCTAAAGAGTTGCTTCGCTTGGCCGCAAGTGGTGAACTGCCGAATTTGGTTTTCTTCGATGTCCAGCAGTTTGTAAACAAACAAAATGATCGCGTTTACTTGCCAAAGAGGTCAGCTGAAAATGTACACCATCGGCCGCAGACCTTGGGCATTCCAACAGGACTCAGCTCCATCGCACTCAGCACGCGCCATACAAGAATTGTTAAAAAATGAGGTTCCTCGCTTCATTTCCAGCGAACAATGGCCGCCAAAATCTCCAGATACCAAACCGTTGGACTATTGTCTCTGTAGTATTTTTGAATGCAAGGTTGGCACTGAAAAATACCAAATTGTCGATCACCTCAAGCAAGCGCTTCGCCGGGAATGGGCCAAAATACCGCAGAGCAACATTCGGGCAGCGTGTGACGGTTTCATTGGCTGCTTGAAGGCCATAACTCGTGCCAAAGGTGACCAAATCAAGAAAATCTAAACTTATTCTAAAATCCTTTCAAATATAAATTTACTAAAATTCTAATATTTGATGCTATTTCCGACATTTTTTGATTCATTTAATAAAATTAAAAAAAAATGTAAAAATTATGGTGTTTGACTTTGTTGTAGTTTTTTTTTCTCACCCTGCATATAAAGCCCAAATGTTTCCAATAGATGACATGTCAGGATTCAATATGCCATTTGAAATTATTTAAGATATGAGTAATTTCAAGGTCTTTATGCGGATATCCCGAAAATTAGAGCAGATATTTGGAAACGATACAAAAATTTAGAAAGAGCATACCGGATATCTTTATGAATTGTTAGTCAGTTATCCGATATTTTTTTAATGTTCTATATCCCAACTAAAATCGTAAATTTACAATGGTTTGTAGCTATTATATGAAACGTTCAATATTATGAAAAGTTAAAAATTCATTTCGAGAATCGGACGTTCAATTTTTGATTTAGAATGTTATCTCAGAGATCAGAATATTTGTAGAATATTTTATTCGATGTCGTTCATGGTATTTTGCAATTGTATCATAGGTAGGGATAAGGAAAAAAAATTGAATGAAACTCCTATATTCCAAACTCTCTGTATTCCAACAGACACGCATCTGAAATATGCCAGGCGCAGTTCCGAAATATTTCATCAATTTAATACTATTTTCATTTAGGTCTAACCAACTTAGATGCAAACTTTGAAATGCCTTTTTCTCATGACATAGACATGACACAAACGTTATGTTCAGTGATATATTCTTGTATGGAATGGCACATACATTTTTAAATTGCCATAAATATTCACTTTATCGCACTACTACAAAATTAATTTCAATTGTTCTACAAAGCTGTGGTGTTATTCATTCTGAATTTATGGAAACACAAAAAAGTTGGACATCTTAAATGTACTTTGTTACCACTCCTAAAGCTGCCAACTCTCTCTACAGATGCAAGAACTTTTTGGAATATGGAAAATAATTTCCAAAATGAATATTTCACTCGAAACAATTTCATTTTGGCCAACAGGATTTACTATTACATTCATTCACATTCATAGTTCATTCATTGTTGGCTTCTGAATAAAGATTATGAAGGCTAAAACTCTTCTTGGAATTGTTCGAACAACCTCAAAGATATTCTTTGTAATGTGGAACACATTTTGCCTTTGGTCATTTACATTCGATACACTCAATAGATTATAAACTTCGAAACGAAAATTTCAACTTGGCAGATTTAAAATAGCTTTACAAACTTAGCCAATGCTACAGCAACAACAACAAAGGCAGCATTTGGACTTTACACATTCGTTGTAGGCTACTGATATCGAATATTTATCTTCTCATCGACCTTTATCCAATCCTCAAACATATATATTATGGGCTCTTAATAAAGATTATGTTGGGAAAAATTACAAAGATACAATATTGGCAAACAGCTCAATGTTGGGTCTAGGAAATCCCATTGTTGTTGTAATCGTCAGCATCGGCATCGGCATCATCATCATCGCCATCAGTCTCATCAATAAGTGTTAAGGCTATAATTTTTCCAAGATGTATTTGTATTGACCCCCGGAGTTGGGGATGGCCCTCACACTAGAGGGCGTCAATAACAGGCTTAGCTAAATGAGAACTCCCCACCTCAAACTCAATAACCTCAGCGGAGGGGAGAGAGAAGATGGAATGTAGGTAAAACCACTATAAAAACAAACTATGACAACAATACATTTTCAATTAATAGACATAACAAACGAAGGTTACAACAGACCTCAGAATCACTCACACACACACACTGGCACACACACAAATGATTGGGGTTTCTTATTGTGTAAAAAGGATTCCATTTCATTATTAATAGCTGTGAGTGTTGGTATCTGCTTTAAAGAAAGTGAAAAAAGGAAAACTCTCAAAATGTGAAGGAAACTGAAACACAATGAGGTGTTCAATTCGAACACAGGCAATTTTCGATTGACTTAAAGGACAGGAGTCTGCCGCATGGCCATGTGAGGTTGGGCGGTGGTGTTTTTGTGTGAGTGTTGGGTGTCTGAAATGGTGTTAAACACAGAAAAGGTGTCAAATATTGTAAAAGATATGTAATTGAATCTGTGTGGAAAAAATATGAAAAAAAAATGAGTATTTTCAGCCATCAGGACATGGGGATGGCTGCAATCAGGCAAGCGTATAATCCTAGAGTGGTGTATTGTTTGTGGGTTTATTAGAAAAGTGGGAAAGTATGTGTGAGATATTTTGTTAAAGAATCCATACTTTTTACTTTCTCTGCGTCCTAAGCAGCTTAATGCGGTCACATTACCTTAGGCCATGTGGTGAACAGCCTTTGCCGTAATTTTATCCAGTTAGTTAGTTATCAGCTGTAGTCTCTGTGCTGGGGTTCCTTACACCGTTCACGCTCACTGGAGGCTATGTAAATTTGATATTTTTCTCACTTGCCTTTTTTCTTGTTGTTGTTGTTATTATTATTATTTTTAAAAAGGACTTTTTCTTAACTTTGCTCCTTTGAAATTAATTTTAATTGATTTGCTGTAGAGTTGGGGTTTGGATGGAGCTACAAAAATAGCTTGCGGGCAAACTTTATTTCACGAACGAAACGTTAACTTTTCTTTTGCTTTGCTTAATTATAATTCCATGCTTTATAGGTATTCGATTTAGTTGTAATCCCTTTTATCTGCCAGCAGAAAATGTACGCACACACACACACATAGACGCAGATGAAGTGATGAGCAGCGGAGAAAAGTTCATCAAAGTTTGTAATGTTTTTCTTGGGTTCGCTTTGCACAATAACCTCAAGGATAACAAGGAATCGTCTCGGTTTTTATGACACTTTAATGAGATGTTTTTGTTGTTGTTTTTGTTTTAAATAATTTTTCCTTGCAAAAGATGAAAGACACTGAAGGGGCGTTGTCGTTAGGTGGGCGGTACACGCGGTAGACAATTTTGAAACTTTAGCTTCATTAATAATGTCGTGTTTTTTGTTGATGTTCTTGTTGTTGATAATGTGTTGCTAGTTTACAAAAATTTCGTTGGTTTTTTGCACTGCACACTCACACTATGACAGGTCGGAGTCAGTAAACCACGTACGAAAAAGCAGAGACTCTCATACACGGAGACAGGATGTCATGAAGGGATCAAAAGGGATTTTTACACACTCAGAAACACACGGTAATGAACGACACAGGATTGTTGTAGGGATACAGCATGGGATTCTGGCTGATAATGATGGGGGAGGAGGGCAAAAAAAAAAAAAGAAGAAAACGTGTTCTATAATCAAGGCAACATAATGATACAGTGATCAATTTGCTGGCAGAGAAGGTGAATATGTGTTCCTACACCTGGCAATGGTACCCAGAATAGTCCTTGCAAAATAATCCAATCCAATTTGATTTGCGGAATTTTCAATTTAGCTCAAGTCTTACATGCACAATGGCAACTCAAATTCAACTGGATCACAGGATGATGGGAAGTTGGGAAAAGGATTTCGTTTGAAGCACACATGGATTGACAAACAATAGAATTTTCATCTCCATTGGCTCAGACGGTTTAAAAGGAAATTATGAATCCCTGTCTCCGCCATGGAACTCTCCAAGGGTTTGGTAAAGGTGTCCTCAGACAAAAACTTACAATGGAAACCTTTAACACTGGCAGCTTATCAAAGGCGAGAGGCAGTCTAGTCTAGTCTAGGCAGTGTTGGTGGTGATAGTACCGGAAATTAAAATATCTGCCTTTCACTTTGTTTTGAAAGCATCAAAATGTTGTGGCAGAGTGTGAGTGAGTGTTGGAGCAAAACAAAATTTAAAGTTTGTTTGTTATGTTGTTGTTGTTATTCTTAGTTAGTTTGTTTGTTTAGTAGACAGAAACTATAGTGAGTGAGAGTAGCATAGATACGAGTACGTAACGCGAGCGCGCGCGAGAGATTAGAAGTAAAATATCCGTTAACGGGTAGTAGCCACGAAAGCTTTCGTTTTGTCGTCGCAGTAACTTAGCCGTTCAACCGTTAGCTTTAAAGGTTCAAGAAAGACTGACACAAATCCAAAATGCCATCGTAAACCAGGACATAATGTTGTCACACCGAGGATTCTAATGGTGCTCTTTGTCGTGGGGTAGTGGTAGTAGCAAACCTCCACAGAAAAAAGGTCACATGCGCAGTAGAAACACCCTCTCAGTGTGGCTATGCGCTCAGTGTTTTGTTGGCGGCAGATAACTGTTGTCGCTAGGACAAGTGATGTAAATGTGCAACGATATTTGATGGCATAGGGTTTTAGCGTTTTCAAAGGCAAACATAGAAGAGTAGAGTGATGAGTAACTGACTAACTGATTTATAAACGCCCGGGGGAAACGGCTGAAGTAAGGATCTTGAAATTGACATGTGAGCAAATGATGGTGTGCAGGAGTCATAAAATGCAGGGATTTTTGGAAATTCGGACTATAAGTGTACTAAATGTATCACCATTTGGTATAATGAGAACGGATAGATCTAAAATCTTATTGTATTGTACTGCAAACGGATAAAGATAGAATATTGAAATATGGAAAAAAGATCGCTAATAAGTTAAAGGATAGATTTACCAAAGCCTTTTCGGAAATTCGAACTATAAAGGGGGAGATGAAAAAACTGCAACCAATTTCAGACTGCTGTCATTTTCAAGCCACTCCGACAGCTGTTAAAATTTTTCCAGTGACAGCTTATTATATTGTTTACAAGCGTACGAAAACATTTTGGTGAGAATTTAAAAAAAAAAAGTTATTCGTGATGGAATTCAAGCGTGATAATGTGATTTCGTTATATTTGGCTGGAACACCACAAGTGGCTATCGTTAGAACACTCCAGCATTTAAATGTGAATAAATCTTTTGTGTTTCGTACCATCGCTCATTACCGTGATACTGGTAGAGTAGCCCGACGTCAAAGAAGTGGACGGAAAAAACAGCAACATCAGTAGAAATGGTTCGAAAAGTAAAGAAGCGACTTGATCGAAAACCTCATCGCAGTGGCCGAAAAATGGTTCGTGAGCTGAACATATCCCCATATTCCATTCGGCAAATATTGAAAAATAAGCTCGAGGTAAAGCCTTTGAGAATCCAAAAAATGCAAGATCTTACACCGCAACAGAAAGAAAATAGACTCAAAAGTGCTAAAGAGTTGCTTCGCTTGGCCGAAAGTGGCAAACTACCGAATTTGGGTTTCTCCGATGAGAGAACACTCATTGTCCTGCAGTTTGTAATGATCGTGTTAACTTGCCAAAGAGGTCAGCTGAAAATGTGCACCTTCGGTTGGCCACAGAGCTCAAGCGCCGGCCGCCATAACTGCCGATGGTCGCTCTCCGTTCGTATTAATCGACCGTGGCATCAGAATAAATGCTGAATATTATCGCGAAAATATTCTGGAGGGTGTATTAAAGCCTTGGGCACGCAAACATTTTTGCCGCAGAACTTGGACATTCCAACAGAAATCAGCAACATCGCACTTAGCACGCGCCACCCAAGAATGGTTACAAAATGAGGTTCTCGCTTCATTTCCAGCGCACAATGGCCACCAAAATCTTCGGATACCATTCCGTTGGACTTTTGTGTCTGGAGGATTTTGGAAAGCAAGGTTGGCACTAAAAAATACCAAAATGTCGATCACCTCAAGCAAGCGCTTCGCCGGGAATGGGCCAAAATACCGTTTCATTGGCCATTTGCAGGCCATAATTAGTGCCATAGGTGACCAATTAGAACAATTCTGAACTTATTCTAAAATCCTTTCAAATGTAAGTTTACTAAAATTGAGCTGGAGGTCTTATTCTAAATTGTGATGCTATTTCCGACATTTTTTGCTTTCATTCAATAAAATTTAAAAAGAAAATGTAAAAATTATGGTTTTTGAAGAAGTTCCGAATATGAAGTTATACCATTGTATGGGAACTTTACCCAAAAAAGGACAAATATGGGAACTTTTCAATTCCAAAAATGAATTGAAAGTGAAAATGACAATGAAGCGAACCTTAACTAATTTTTGAATGAATATTTATTCAATTTTTTCTCTAAGTTCGGATTGGACATACACACGGGACGGCCATTTATATATACTTTGTGCGATCGTCAATGGTTATTACGAGAAGTTGAAAAAAGAATGACAAACTTATTTTGCCATTCCTAATATATTGCAGGGTAATAATAATATACCTCTTACAAAGTGAAGGAAACAGCCGATATGTAGTTAAATTTCTGACAATTTGAGCTCAATCGGACATTATACCACTTCTGCTGTTTCCTCTCCTTAGAATGATTATAAATCTGGAAATATGTAAGGTGAGTCCTGGAAGCTGGATTATATGGACTATATTGAGTAGCTGGTTAAAAGAAGTTTTTGGTATTGGGCCAAAAACCAATCCCTTTTAGGTTCTTCAATTTTTTCGACATTTCCCATTAAACCTCTCCTAAAAACGCCCGTACTTAAAAATTCCCCCAACTTGACAACACTTTTGCCGCTTGTCTAGCAGAAATTCCAACTAGGATTCCGGTAACTGAAATCAAAACAAAAACAAACCATTTACTAGGCCGGCAATCGTCCTCTACTCTCTTTCGTTTCTTAATTTCACCACACCCCAGACTCTCACTGCATCTAAGGATCTCTCTTGCTGCTCATTCTGTAAAATTCTCTCTCGCCTATTTTATCTCTCAATTGTTAAAATCCTTAGGAAGAATGTGTAACGAAATGTGTTTTTTTGTTGTTGTTGAAAGGACGAAAAAAATGCAACTGTTGCGCATTTTTCAACACACATCGGCGTTTTGCTCACTGGCTGAGTGCCGAATAACAACAACAACAGCAATAACAACAAAAACAACCCGAAAGAACAAATACCAAGAGTACGGAGGACTGCAGGAATACAGGCTTTTTTGGAACATCGTCATGCTTTGATGCTGATGTTCTCGCTGCTGCTGCTGCTGTTGTTTTTGTTGCCTTTGACGCACCTAATGAAATGCTAATCATCTCAGTTATCTCTGCAACATGCAACGCCAGTTGCTGTTGTTGCTGTTCAACACCGAAATACACACAGAAAATATTTCCATTTGTACTCTTCGCTACGATTGCAACAACCCCCAACAGCACAGTTGGGCGATTTTTGCCATTGCCAAGACCAGTGGAAAACACCCACTTTGAATTGCAGAATTAAAATTCCTTTAAACTTCAATGAACAATTACGGGAACTTGTTTGCTGATAATGAGGATAATGCCAACTAACAGGGCGGCTAATGGGCCAAGGGGTCGGGGGCGGCAAAACATTCCTTTGCTCCATGGCAAGTAAGGCTCATTTGTGTGCCGATCCAGCCAGCTATCCGTCCATCGGCCATCGTGTACTTATGCATTGTCAAAAATCAATCTAATTACATTTCACACAGTTTGATGATGACCTGCCTGCCTGCCTGTTAGGCAGTGAGCGAGAGAGCCTTCGAAAAATCTAATTTCCGCTTTGTTTTCGCCCAAAATGTCCGCCAATTAAAATTTTAATGAAAAAACTTTCATTGGTATGTGGCTGCTGTCCATGGGACATGGTGACAACGACGACGACGACGACCCTTGTCGTTTTTAGTGGGGTCCAAGTGTCCATTCTGCTCCATGTATCCTTAGACAAGAGATGGACTTGTGGGTGTCAGTGAGTGTGTGTGTGATGGAGCTACTTTGTCATTCTGAGCCTTTTTCCCAACTTGTTTTGCTGGACCCTCAACATGATATCAATAAAATGTTAGCCAGCATTCCTCGGTAGCCTCTGCCCCCTGCCAGACCGCCTGCCTTAACCGTTACAGTTGAGTCGGGAGCAAAATGAAATCAAATTAAAAAAGGTTAATTAATTTCTATTGACATGAGGTAATGCCTTTGGATGTTTAAATTGATGGCCAAGAACAAATTCTGTTGGGAACATTTGTTAGTGTTGCTGTTGTTGTTGTGTTGTGGATTTTCTTCGTTATTCTTTCATATGGCGTTGGGCCTTAGAAATGATCCTTGAAACTTCATGGGTGGTACACATTCATGTCATTCATTGACTTGTTGTTGTCGCTGGGGTTTTTTCGTTATTGCTGTTGTTGTTGTATTTTCCACAAACTTTCACAAAGCGACATTAAAACTTGGAAAATTCAATAAACATTTTCGTTTTCGAACAAAAAAAAAAAAACAGAAAAAAAAATTAGTTTAATTAAATTAACACAGAAGTCGCCTCGTGGATGAACAAACAATGTGCTTTGTATGCAAAGTGTTGACAAGTTGTTGAATTGTTTTTCAATTGAAATCTGAAGTCCTGCAGTGCGATGCAGCAAGTAAGGAAAGAGGGATGGAGGTGGCAGTGGTGGTGTACAATGGACCAAAGTTTGTGTGCGGGAGTGTAAGAGTGTGTGTGTGTGTTGTGTCAAACACGTACTTGATTTGTAACAAAGACCAATTTCAATAAAGACAAGCAAGTATCGGGGGTTAGGGGGGAGAATACACAAAATGGTTAAAATCACCCTCAAGCAGCAAATCATTTCTAAGTCTTCTGTAATAGACAAACAATTATAATTTCCATCAGCAACTTGGAAGTGCAAATGAAAATCACAATTTCTCAATGGTATTACGAGGTATTATTTGGAAATGTAATGTACGGAGAAATGTACAAACATACATACATACAGAGCAAGGGAGTGGAGTAGGAAACCTTATTTGAATGAATTTTATTTCCATTACAACCTGGGTACAAAAAAATAAATTCAAAAGCTTTCGGTATAATATTTAGAGTTCTCCAACCTGAAGTATGTGAAGGTTTGGGATATATATTTTTAAGCTCATATGTTTATAGGACACCAACATGTCATGGGAACCTCTGTAGCCAACGTTTTACAAAAGTGGTTTAATAGAGAAGAATATAGAACTACAAAATTTTGATAATTTATAGGGGATGGCAAATATCCATTCCCAAATGATCTTCGCCCCAATAAGACAACAATTTAAAATAACAACATTTCCTTTGAAGCGCTTTCTGGAGTAGAGAAAC